GTCAATTCAGTGAAAATATCAACAATCTCAAATGTATATTGAAACACCCTATCAGATTTCGATATTCATATTTCATGAGTTACGCAATCTACTGTTCTTATTTCCCAACGTCGCTATAGAAAATTATCCTTGATACTTATTAAGCATCATTTTTATTATTTACATACACACACTGATGTTCTATGATCCTTACCTTACTTGGCTTACTCCTTGCGGAAAAAGTCGTATTTGAAATATCTCTGCGTTTTCCCTCGTCAGTTTTTTGATTGTATCATCTATTACATACAATCGCTATTTTGCTTTCTCATTGACTGTTTTTCCCCTGGAACCGACTTTACGTACAGTCGCCAGTGGCGGCTTATCCGAATTCCTTTTGCTTGTTAACTACCGCTTTTACAACCATTTTTTTATTTTATACGAACACTTTCCGCAGATTTCTACACAGAACAGCCACCCTCAGGCAAAGTTAAATTATTTATTACATTTTTGCGTCCTTTATCTTGCTTTTACGCCCACCCGTATAGCCCATATTATCACCATTCCCATAAGACACTACCCACTGGTTGCCGTTTGCTGGGGGTGGTTCCATACCCCATCCTTGCCGAATCGAACATTGGTGTATAAATGCAGTCTTCTTAAGTAATTATAGTTCCTTGTAACATGGCTGAATGGATATATTTTCTCCAGAAGGCTAGTGTTGCAATGTATGTTTCATGGATGATCCATGCTCATTGGTTTTGCAACCTCGCTTATTTAGTCCTTTCTGTTTGAAGATATCTGTCAGCCTCGTGCTGTTCAGCCCCTCTTGCATAGTCTCAGCATTATAGTCGATTGAACAAACGGCAAATCATATTTTCCAATTCATCTGCGCTGTATCTTTTCCAATGGTTTCTCTCTCGAAGCCTCCCGTTATTGCCCTTATCTTTGATGTTTGATGCGTCCATTGTAATCAATTATTCTCGACAGGTCCTACTGTTACTTTTACAAAATCTGGACATCCTCACCTCCAAATTTTCGCCTACTGACTTCAAGAAATACATGCTCCCTGTCCTGACTTCATCGCTGGAAACAAATACAACATCCATTGTGGTACGCCTTATCCTGAAGTCCCCTCTCTTTCGATTTTGTTTTCTTTAATTTCCCTCAGTATGATGGTCCTTTTTGTATTATTAAAGCAACTGTGCCTCAAGAGCATACCTGATGTTGCCCAGATGATTGACTTCCCGATTCTCAAATCTGCAATTGTTCCGCGCCTCAAGAAGGTGTATGTGCGTCATGATCTTGTCAGTGTAAGTTGTACATTCTGTTCTGTTCTTGACTACCGAAGAGTGCTTTAATCTAGAATCTATTCCGGTTTTACACGGAACATTATGGAAAGAAACTATGGATATCATGAGTTTATTCTCAGGTCTCGATCTGTGCACTTTTGAAACATCAGCCTCCTGGACTAGTCCTTGAGGTGGGCAGCTTGTATCTGACAGTAGATAAAAAATTCTGTGAAACCACTCCAAATTTCATGACCCTTTGATACAGGGCAAGCAGTGACGTGAAATTCATACAAATGTCAGAATTATACGCTAACCACCAGCTTTGCATTTGTGTATTCTGACAAGTAAAAGGCGTCAGGAATTCGCTGGCAGACTAACAGTGCGAGTGTGTTGAAAATCGCTCCGTGTTCAACTAAAAATGTACTGTAAAGCAGAAAAAAGTGCTGAGCAGATATTAAAAGGGGGTAGGGTTCAAAAGATACGTCTTATGGTATTTTCCAGTGAAGTCAAAAATAGAAGGGGACAAAAAAGATGAGAAAAAAAACAAATAAGGTTACAAACGATAAGCCAAATTAGCTGCCATTTCTTTCATTTAACCCTATGCGTAAAACACCTCTTAGCGCCAACCCCGCACTACATTCGGATCTGCTCCCTGACGTGGGTGCTATATTGCGTTTTTGTCTGCATAATTAGGAGCTTCACAAAAATTGGGCTCCCAACTCCCTCATACGCCTCTTTAGTCAGTTAACTACGCGGCGGTAGTAAGGAAGCATATCGTTTTCATTCTTGATCTGCATGTTATCGTGCCGTTTTAATGTGCCTACAACAGGCTCCCTGATAGGTACGCTGAACTTACACTAGAGCAGATCAGGGCACAACAGACTTTATGATGGATACACACTTATGCTAAATGCTATACGTGGGGGAAGGTAGTACGGACTGTGATCGCACGCTTAGGCATAGGCTTACGCTGCACCAATCACCTGCGCCCCCTTTCGTCTCCGATCTTTTTAACCTTGGCACTATGCTCAGCTATGTGAGATGGGAGGGGAGTAGATGCGGCGTCAGCCTACTAAGTCACGCGCAACTTACCGTCCCTGTGTCTATCCTAGTACGGGGCAAATGCTGGACTTCATCAAGCTTACGGTTGAACTGTAGTCGATCCCCCGGTTGAATTTTGAATCATCAGTATCCTAAATAGTTCTGCTCCTGCTGTTACATAAATATCTACCTTTAAAGCTCGTCTGATTTTTCTGCGATTAGGTTCCATGAAGGACTCTTCGACTTAAATTACCGTGGACGTCCAAGGTGGCCAGCAGCTAAGCTAACAGGTTGACCTTATCTTCCAGGGAAATCAATAAAACACGTCCAACTATTCTATGTATTTTGGGATCTTGGCATCTTATACTCAAAATTCATACTGCTTACCCTGTTATCTTGTAATGCTAAGACTATGGACTGCGATCCCGATAAGACCAAACGGTCCTATTTTACCCCCCAAAACCTCACCATTGTACCTTGTCGGGGATGGAGGACATTTTTATCCTCTTTTGAACTCTATCTTCTACGTATTTGTATCCCGCGCTCAAATACCAAGCTTTCAACTTAAATTTTTTGCAAACGCGTTGTTGATGAAAGTCGGTCAAGGGGGCTTTCCTCGCAAAATTGTAATGCCAAACCGTCAATGCTTATATTAAAGTCAGTTAAAAATTATAAAATGGAAAACCTGTCCCTCCCCCCCCCTCCCTAAATGGAACTTTTGTGCCCTTTTCTGCTAAGCATGCGTATTAAAACTCATTGTGGAGTATCTGCACTCACCTGAATAGTCTGACTTTAGATGTGGTGCGTACCCCTATGGTTGGAGAGGTAACTCAATAAAAGGGATGTAGCCATTTTTGAGATGCTTGACACAAACCCGAAAGGTCATCGGCTTAAGTTCGTTGGATAACTGTCCTTCGTCACGGTAAGTAATAAACGATAATCGGCTACTTTACCTGGCTTCAGGGTCCTTTAAATGGTGGGATGCCCG